ACTTTTCTGTTCCAAATATAATTGTTCAAATACCAAACCTAAACGGGTATGTAGAAGTCCTTGCATGGCTGGAGTCAAAGCAACCCCCAGGGATCCATGGCACGGTGACCCAGCAGAGAGGGCCGAGAGCCTAGGGCCTGGGAGTCTCAGGGGGCCATGTTGCCTTTTCTGCAGCCACGGCCCATCACCAAAATGAAGGTGGCTTCATCACCCTAGTTCCCTCTAGGTCTGTTCCTTTCTCAGATCTCAGTTCAAGTACCAATGGCCCTGGCAGTTTGTTTTCATGGGCACTATGGCGCTTGCCACTCTCTGCTGCAATTTATCTTCATGCAAAACTGTCTCCCTGAGGAGCAGTAAAATCCTGAAGAACAGGGCTGGCCCTTACTCATCTTTGCATTTCTACTAGCTAACTTCTCCATACTTTATACAAACACATGTACTGCACACACACACACACACACACACACACAGAGACAATATATGTAAATAAATAAATAGGAGAGACGGCAGGGGAAGGGAAACAAGGCACAGGAGGTTTGATGTAGGAATTTAGAGAATATGTATTAATTTGCTCGACAGTTTTTGGTCTGTGCTGGAACTCATTCCTAGTTCTTTTGACAGTCCTAAGAAAACTAACATTGATAAGAACTCTTTGACGGCACTGCGCCTCTGAACAGAAGAAACCACAGGGTCCAGACGCATCACAACCCTACCCTGGGCTACTGCTGAACACATCTGACTCCCTCTCTCCATCCGTAAGAACGAAGTTCCCAACCACGTCTGTTCACTGTTGAACTCCCACTGCCCTTGGATGGTGTTCAATAAATATTTGTTGGTTGAAAAACTGAATAAATCTATCACAAGAGCAGTCAAGGAGAAAGAAAAAGTAGTCAGACCCAAACACTTCATACCACTGACTTCTATTTTTATACAAACATAAAGATAAGAAATTAACTGTGACAATATAAATTCATGAATTAATAACCCTGGCCCCCTCCCGAGGGGTGTGGGTCACTTGGCAAAGTGTGGCGGACAGAAGAAGGGTTGGCACTCTGGAATACCAAGGTGATGGTGCGTGCTCTTGTTGGTGCTCATGTTTTCAGCCAATTGCAATCCACGGGTATTCATTTTTAGGATTTGTAGTTTTAGTTAAACTAATTCTTATAAAATAGGCAAGTGGCTAAAAAAGATTATTGCAAAGATCAACAAACTAAAGATAACCCTAAACTAATAATACCAACACTATGAACACCAGGGAAAGGGCATGTTGACATTTCCTCTGCTCCTAATATGAATTCATCAGCAGCCCACACGATAATTTCAAAACAATAGCTGTCAATTATAGGCTACCTAGGAGAAACTTAGGGAAAAAAAACACTTAGTTACCTTTAAGGTAAAGGTGACATTTTAACAATGAGAAAAAGTTACTGCTATTTGAGAACAAAATAACACAAGTTTTGAAGATAAAAATTTAAAAAATGGATGTTCTGAAATGTTTCCATTGTTATACAATTTGGAGACCTAGAATGATCTAAAGTGCATAAGCTATAAGACTGTCATATCTGCACCTTACATTTTCCAGGAAGCATTCTAACCGGTTGTTAAAAGATGCCAAATGAAAAAAACCCAACAATCAAAAATCTAAAAATACAGCACTTTCAAGTAACCCGTAAGAACTGACATTATGAAAGATGGAAATCTATTAGCTGGATTTCAAAATGAATCTGAATATAATCAGCAAGTAACACTGAAAAGTGAGCGTTAAGATTTAATAAAAGCTCAGCTCACTTCCTCCCAAGATCTGAGATGTCTCTTCCAGTTATAACCATTAAAACCAAAACCAGTATTCGGGCCTCCCTGGTGGCGCAGGCGGTTGAGCACAGTGTTGTGAAGCTGTCCGCAGCCTCTGCAATGTGAGTTCTATCCCAGCCAGCAGCGGAGATACCCACATGGCACAGCAGACCTCTCCTGTCTGGCCCGCTGCTCCCCTCAGCAGTGTATTTCAGTCAGTCTGCCTGTTCTGTTCCCCACTCTGTCTCTGATGAATCCTCTCACTCTCCTGCATATCTGGCCTGTACCCTAGTTCTTATATGCATGAATAAATAAATCTTCAAAAAAAAATTACTTAAAAAAAAAACCCCAAAACCAGTATCCAAATATACAGAATTTACAATCAAACCTGTGAGTTTCCATATCACAAGTTGTTCAAGTAAAATTTTATTTATTTTTTTAAAGATTTATTTATTTGTGCATACAAGAGCTGGGGCACAGGCCAGAGATGGGTGGGATGGGCAGTGAGAGGATTCTGTTCCCCACCAGAGACAAAAGTGGGGAGCAGAACAGGTAGACTGACTGAAATACACTGCTGAGGGAAGCAGCAGGTGAGACGGGAGAGGTCTGCTTCACCATGTGGGTTGCTCCCTGGAGGGCTGGGAATAAAACTCATGCTGCAAAGGCTTCAGATTGCTTCATAGTGTGGTGCTTAACCCTTTGCGCCACTAGGGAGGCCCTATTCAAGTAAAATTTTTAAAAATAACAGTGTTCATTTTCACCAAAAGTAAATTACAATATATTTGATATCTTTTCAAATAAAATAAAATTATTTTAAATGTTATTTCATTCTCATCTTTGAATTTTTATGTCTGTTTATGATGTAGATACTACATCAATAAAGTAGTAAAGATACTTGTAATTTTAAAATAAAAGCACATATGTTATTGGGAATGCATGTTCAATGCAGTTTAGAGATTGCTACTTCAGGCATCAGGAAGTAGTTGAGAGATTTTAAACCAAAGGAGTAAATAAATCAGATTTGAATTTCAGAAACCTAATTGTAGAGATAACAGTCAGGGAGAGAGTGTTTGGAGGGTCAAGTGGGTTTCAGAGCACTAATTGCTGAGAGAACTCCTTAGTTCCCGTGTCTCCGGATCCTTCCCCAGGACACAAGGTATATTTTAACAGATGCCTCCTGCAGAGCAAGGCCTCCTGTTCTATGGCCTAAAAGAGGCACCGTGGAGCCACAAGCAGGATCACCCCTGGGAGCTACCCTACTGCTTACCACTGGGCAAGGAGTCAGGGCAGGACAGACTGAGCACCTCTCTTTTCTGATGTTCCCATTTATACATTTTAAATATGATGAAAGTTATTTTCAAAAATAATTTGAAGAATACAGCAATTTATGAAATGGAAAATAAAACACTGCCTCCCTACCACCTGCTATTCCACTAAGACCACACATGGCAATCACTGTTGACAGTTTGGTGTATTTCCTTCTAGATCTTTCTCTATACATAGATACTTTACACACACCACATACTTGTATAAGTGTGTGGTGTGTGTATGCATTTATATAATTTTTATATTATTTTACTTTGTAAAAAATAGGCCTACGTTCATATTGCTCTGAGCTTGCTTCTGTCGTCACAATGTGACGGCCATCCTGGGACAGGCCACATGGTTGAGTCCCTTTTTGCAGTTACAGAGAATGAGATCACATTGCGAGGCATTGCTTAGGTTACTCAGCATTCCTTCACTGATGGACATCAGCAACATCACCTTGACAATGAAGGAGCAAAGAACATTCTTAAACCTATATCCTGGCACACTTCAAGTAGGGCGGATTTCTGGAAGTTGAGTGAAAGAGGTACATTTAAAATGTTGGTTAAGTATTGTGGGATGGCTATATTCATTTAAACTTCACACAATAAAGTTCAATTATTCATTCTGTCCTCTTCTCATGAAATTTTTGTAGATTCCTAGATTTAGGAAAAGATCTTAGAAAGCAAGTCCATCAACTTGCGTATGAGAAAACATTTCAGAGACATAAGGTATGGGCCTAAGACCTCCAAGCCTCTGACAAGACAACTCAGCAGCAGCAGGAGCTGCGTTAAGGGTGGTAACTGCTAAAAGCCAGGACAGCAACGTGGATGAAATGACTTAAGATCCAGTGTGTGTTCCTTCAGAGCTACTAACAAGCGGCAGAGGGGACTGTCAAGTCCTTTTCCTGGCTACTTTTGGCAAAGGAAGGGAAAAAGGTATGCAGTTCCTAAAAGACACAATTACAAGAGGGAGCAGAGAAGGAGGGCCCTCAGCTAGGTGGGGTGACGGGCACCAGAGCGGGAGGTATCATAAGTTCAGCTGAACGCTGCAAGCAAGTGTGGTGGAAAAGACTGACATGGGATGACCTTAGCAAAAAACCTTCCACAGCCTCGGTGGCTTGTATGAAAAGTTTCTTGGTTCTAAATATCTCCATGTGGCATCCAAAATGAATGCCAGTACTGAAACCAAATTCTGAAGAGAAATATCAGAAAAGAACTAACATCCCACAATGAAGAAACATCTTCAAAGAAGATGTTGTTATAAAAATACCACAAAAGTACTTTCCAGCAAATTCCAGACCTAAAAGTAAAGCTTTAAAATGAAGCTCCAAGCACAGAGGTCTTGAATCCTCTGCTCTGTGCCTGAAGAGGCCCATTTAAAGGGAGGTACTTCTAACCAGATAAGTCTTTATTCCATCAAACCCACGGGGCTTAGCAATGAGAAAAGAAAGTGGTAACTGAACCATTTATGCTTACAGTGGTCGAGAACAGGGGTCAGCAAACTTCCCTATAAAAGGCTAGGGAGCAAATACCTCAGGCTTTGGAGGCCATATGGTCTCTGTTGTAAGTACTCAACTGCACTGGTGTAGCATAAAAATAATCAGCCATAGAGAATATATATTTAAATAAGCATAGCTGAAATTATGAATGCTGAAGTCTGAATTTCATATAGTTCTTATAAAGGATAATTCTTGTTTTGATTTTTTTCCCAACCATTTAAAAACAAACAGGCAGTGGGTTGGATGTAGCCAGGCGGTCATAATTTGAGGGTCTCTGGTAGAGTTTTCAATTCCCAGCTGAACTGAACTTAAACATTCATGGAAAGATGGAAAGAAATGTCTAAGCCCAACTGCTAGGAAAGTGAAGGCAGAAGGCAGAAAGGTGGATTTGCAAGATATTTACCTTAAATCTCTTCTTTTGTTGAGTTCCACTGGCGGAATCGTCCAGGGCAGGACTTTGGGGAGACAGTCTAGGACTTCTGAAGGGAAGTCGGCAAAGTCTACGCCGTACTCCGTCAGTATGCCTTCCGTCTCGGGCTCGATTTCACCAGCCTGCCCAAGACTCTTAGCCAGCTGCCTGTGGATAGGACAGAGAAGGGCCAGGTTGGTGAGTAAATGGAGCGTAAAAGTGAAGGTGCTAGGAAAGTCTCCAAAACCTCCTGCCCCTCCCCCCCAGGAATATCATCACTGGTGAACAGGGGGCCAAGCAGGAGACACCAATACTCCTGCTCCTCAAAATCCGTGACTGCAGTGTAAATCTCCCCTTCTTCCGAGATCAGAGGCCTTTTCTTAGGACCGCTCGATTGTTTTTTTTGACAAGTCGAGATTGATGTTTCTAAAAACCTTTCACAAATTCTTGTTCCAGCAAACACACCCTTAGAGACAAATCCGATCAACCCAGTTTGCTGTTAAATCCTTCATTCAGAGAGCCAATACCTAAGTCTTACTCAGGGATTTGATCTAATATTGATTTCTTAATTCTACTAGCTTTTACCAGATTTTAAAATACTTTATCAGAACACAAAAATAATACACATTGAATATAGAATAGCTAGACAATTCAGAAATGCACCAAGAATGGTGCTATGACTCTGCCTTTGTGCAGGGTGTTGGGGAGACCAAAAATGGCCACCTCCTTGTTGTACAGGCCTGCTCCTCCACCAGTGTGAGCCAAGAATCTATGCTCAGTTTTTCCTTCAAGGAGTTTCAGGGTCTCCCCTGGGGCCACTGAATTGAAGCTTGTGTCCTATGTAAGGAGGGGCCTGGCTGCCAGGCTTGCTCAGTGCACAGTGGTAGAGGACGACTAGGAACATGGTTGCCTGACGGGCACACTTGGCACCAGTTCACACCTCCAGCCTCGCTCCCAGGACATAGCAGTGGTGGCAGCAAGGCCGGCACATTTCTCATAGCAACCACGGGACCAGCCCACAGTCCACACACCTGCCCTCCGGCATAGGCTTGAGGCGCCTGGAGGCAGGCCTAAGGACTTCAGGTTCCTGGGGGGCTCTTCACAACAATGTGGGCTGAGACCAGTGGCTTCTCCTTAAACTTAGGTGTTGATATCAAAAATATGAGGGAAAAATGACAGAAAACTAGCTAGAAGATCCCCAAATACTTGGAAACTAAATAACCTGTGAGCTAAAGAAATAAAAGGAGGAAATAATTTAAAGTGAATGAAACACTTGTATTAATATTTGTGAGAGGCAACTAAAGCAGTGCTCTGAAGGAAATTTACAGCATTAAATGCTCATATTAGAGGGCCTCCCTGGTGGTGCAGGCAGTTAAGTGCAGCACTGTGAAACTGTCCGCAGCCTCTGCAGCGTGCGGTCAATCTCAGCTGGCCGGAGAGATACCCACATGGTGCGGCAGACCTCACCTGCTGCTCCCCTCAGCAGTGTATTTCAGTCAGTCTGCCTGTTCTGCTCCCCACTCTGTCTCTGGTGAAGCCTCTCACCCTCCCGCACATCTGGCCTGTACCCTGGTTCTTGTATGCATGAATAAATCAATCTTTTAAAAAAATTTTTTTAAATGCTCATATTAGAAAAAAAGAAATGTGTCATACCAATGTGATCTTTCTATTTAAAAAATTAAAAGTCAAAACAAACAACAACAAAAAAAGAAGCAGCAAATTAGATCCCACGTAAGCTGAAGGAATGAAATAAAGAATCAATAATCCGTGGGTAGAAAATGAAGAAACAATAAAGAAAGTCACTGAAACCAAAAGCTGATTCCTTGAAAAGAAATACATTGTTTCTAATCAAATTAATCAAGAACAATGCAGGAATTGTGAATATCAGGACTGAGAGGAGGGATTGTTATGGATCCTACCAGCAGTAAAAGGGTAACACAAGAATCAGGAGTGACTTTAAGTCAATAAATTCAACATTCTGGTAAAAGAGATCAACTCCTAAGAAGACACAAGTTGCCTGAGATTATTCAAGCAGAAGCAATACGGGAATATTCCTATATCTACTACAGAAATTGGAAGCACCCTGTAAACTCCTTCCCCAAAGAAAACCCAGCTCTGAAGGTGTCACTGGTGAACGTAAACCAGGCCTTTAAAAAAGAATCAATGCTATCCCAGAGTCCTTGAGAACCTGCGACACTGTCCAGCTAGTTTCATGAAGCAAAGAAGGCTTGTGATCAGTGTTCATGAACACAGAATTAACATTCATAATAAATATTGGCAAACAGAATTCAGCAATATATAAAAAGGATAATACATCTGAACCAAGTGACTCAAGATTTGCCCAACATTCAAAAAAATCAATCAATATGATTCACCGTATTAGCAAACCATTAAAAAGTATATACAATTATCTCAATAGATCCAGATAGACATTTAAAATCAACATCCATTCATGAAACAAGAGGGGGAAAAAAAACTCAGCAAATAAATAAAGGACAGGGCAATAATACTCAACTGATAAACCACCTCAATGAAAATCTGAGCGCTGATACCACATTCATGGCAAAAAACTAAATGCTTTCATGAGATCGGGAAACAAGGTGTTCACACTCAGCTACAATGTTAAACAGGGTACTGGGGGGCCTAGTTGGTGTCACAAAACAAGAGAAGGTGTACAAATTAGGAAGAAAGAACCCCAGTGCGTGTCTGAGGCACCGAGGACTACGATTCCTACCGCAGAAGTGACCAGTCTTGTGCAGAATGCCTGGCCTTCCTGTACAGACCTCTCACATGTCATGAAACCAGGAGCCAGCAAGCTGGGTATAACTTAGACTCTGCCTCAACCCAGGACTTTGAACATGAAGTGAATGCACAAATGAATGTCACTGAAGTGAATGGCATGGGCTAAAGGTTGAGCCTTGTGGATGGGGACCTGGAGGCCGGGGGACCAGGACACCTGGGGAAGAGCCTGTGGGTGAAACGGGCCTACTGAAATGAGCCCAGGGGCTGAAGACTTGTGTTCCATGAAATGCTCAGCAAAAGACTTCCACTTTGGAGGCAGGATGATCTGCCCTGAAAATGCCAGCCAACCTCCTTCAGCAGCCTCTGCAGTGCTGCTCAGTGGGCGAAAGACTAAAGTAGGTGGGAGCAGAAATCGCGCTCCACAGCTTGAGCCTCCCTCACTGATGATGCGCTGGGGCCACCTGTGCAGGAGCCAGTGTGCCAGGAGCAGCAGCACCAACCTGAGCCTGTGACACAGAAACACACCGGAGGGTGCACCCACGAGGTGACACTTGACTGAGCCCCCTGAGCGCACCTGTGGCGGACAGAGAGGGCAGTAATGTCTCTCCTAAATTTAAGGAAACACTAATTTGGGGTTGGGTTTGCTACCTTGGTTTGTGCTACTCACCTCACTTGTATAAACACCACAGTGCAGAGATTTAACCAAATGCTTCTTAAGGTATGACATTTTCTCACACATCGCTTGAGTGGTGGCAAGGATTTCACCTCAAGAAGCTGCAGAGCTCAGTGAATTCACTGACCAGGATGGTGTCAGTGCATATGGATCCTAATTGGGAGGCCACGCCTTGTGAGGCTGGGGTGCTGTCTTCCGGGATACAGCTCTGCTTGGTATCCAAGAGCCTGGCACATGGTCTGGGAACCAAGGGGGGCAAGGAAGGAGGTGGACCTTTCAAGGTCATACTGAACACCCCTCACGAGAATGCTCACCTCTACGGTGAGAGGCTTTTGCACCTGGTCCTTTCGTGACTTTAGCTGTGATCCCTCCAAACTGGGCACTGAGACCCCAAGAACCCTGACTGACTGGAAATCATGAAGGAGATGAGGGGGCTGAACTGGAGTCTGGACTCCTACTGGAGTCTGTCCCTACCAGGGAACTTCTCCACTGACACTGGAAGGGGACAGGGTTCCCAGCACCTCAGTGTGAATGAGGACGCATGGAACCCAGAGGCCATGCTGGTTGGGAGAAAACAGGGCAGTCTCTATGCCAGAGAAAGTTCCAAAATCAAGGAGTCTGGAGAACCACGCCACCATCTTGCCACCTGCCTCGCAGCTGCTCCTGGGGTCTGAGCAGCCAGGTCTGCTGCAGTCCAAGAGCCGAGGCCCTTGCCCAGGAAAAGGGTGGGTTCCAGGGAAAAGACAAGGCCTGGCTTCCCATCGATCCATGTCTTGCAGCGAGGGAGGGGTGGGAATGAGCGGAGCGGGGGAGGCAGACTCAGGGGAGCCGGGGGTGGCACATGGGTAGATTACTGGTGGGAGGGTCGCACCCAAAGGGAACAATATCAATAGAAAGAGGGCCCCACGATGTAAGAAGTAAAAAAAAAAAAGGAACCCTGACTGACATAAGATGTAAAACAAACCACCCACTCGGTTCCTGATAAAACACACTTGGAATTTAAGCCAGCTGAGAGATGATTTGAAAGCAAGGATTCAAGAGTGGCAAGTAAAACTATAAGGAGGCTAATCAAATATTGTGATATGAAATTGCCAATATTTGACCATTTTTTACCTATAAAACACAATTTCGAGGTATTAAAAATCACATATAATTATTAACCATACATGTAACCAGACAGCATACATACTTTCTGGGAGAATCATCAACAATGAGGTATAATACAAACAGGTTATCAGAGAACGACACGAACATAAAAAGAAACAGATTCTTCTAAGTGGCAGGAGTAACCCAGTGAGGCAAATGTAAAACACAGCGGCCGTCCTACAAGCCCGCAGTAGTCAGAAATGATGACCGTATGCCTGAAGAGGAAATGGGCCTTGAAAACTTGAACAAAAGGGGCCTCCCCGGTGGCGCAGCAGTTGAGCGCTGGGTTGCGAAGCTGCCCACGGCCTCTGCGGCGCCAGTTCGATCCCCGGCTGCTCCCCGGCTGCTCCCCGGCTGCTCCCCGGCTGCTCCCCGGCTGCTCCCCGGCTGCTCCCCGGCCACCAGAGGAGGATCCCACACGGTGCGCAGACCTCTCCTGCCGCCCGCTGCTCCCCTCAGCAGTGTACTTCAGTCCTTCTGCCTGCTCTGCTCCCCGCTCTGGCTCTGGTGAATTCTCTCACCCTCCCGCGCTTCTGACTGTACCCAGTGCTTGTATAAAACAAACAAATAAAATAAATAAATAAATAAATAAAAACATGCCTCTATT